GTTGGAGTTTTCTCTGTATTGTCCTACCTTACAATAAATTGCATAATAAAGTAGGTTGGGGCAACTGAAATTATTTATTCATTTTTTTGGTTGTATATAAATTTCATTTTATTTAAAAAGTAATGTGGCAGAAAGATTTTTGTATTTTGAATCAGTTGCCTTTATCAATCTATGTGTTACTGCGTTAAATAGTCCTGAAATATTCAAGCTTGTGCAAAGGAAAACTCAAACAGATAACTATTAACTCATTCACTGCCATTGACGTCTATAGCCGTCAATGGCAGTGAATGAGTCAATGGGTCTAACTCATTCACTGCCAATGGCTGGCAGTGAATGAGTTAATAGACAAGTTAGGTTAACTTATGTCTTTACTTAAAGTGTAGTTACGAAAAATCATTTAGGAATGTGAAAAAACATTGTTCCTGTGTATTTGTTTTCTGTGTATTAGAAGACATCCATCAGGAATAGCATGTAGCTTACATGAGAAACTGTCAGAGCTAGCACTGTGTGCAGGCAGGGTGTGGACTCAGATGGACATAAGGAATGTTTAAAAAAACAAATTAAGAACCTTAAACTTGAACTAAAACTAAGTAGTCTCAGGGAACTAAACTAAGAAGCATAGACTAGGAGAGGGAACTGGAACTTCACCTGAAGAAGGAGGGCAAGACGGCACAGAGAAGGTGAGGGTGACGTTAACAATGCGACAAAGAACTGAGGGAGACACTGACATAAATACACAGAAAGATAACGATGACGCGAAAGCACAGCTGACACGGATAATTGTAACGAGACAGGGGAGGGGCAAACACCACATGACGTGCACTGAGACTAAGTAGAACAGGGAGTACACTGAGATGCAGACCGGAAGGGGAAAGAGCGAACACAGAGGAGCACGAGAGAGAGAGAGAAACATGACGGGCAGGGAATAAGACACAAGGGGAAATATGAACTCACACTACAATATAAACACATACACACAGAGGGAGTAAGGACACAAGGGAATCCTGATGACAAAAAGCTAAACCGAACAACCTAGTTACTACAGAATAAACACAGTGGACCTGAAAACACAAACACTAACACCAAATGACAAAAATACAAGAAAACTCAAAACACTGAATCAAAAGGACCCATGCACCATGACAGAAATACACTGAAAACAAACCAAAGTTATAATGATTGTTAATTGTGTACAGAGCTCTGCCTCCATACTCACCAATATCAAAGCTGGGCTGAGGCGTTGTGGCAATGTGGCGTCTCTTTTATTTTTGTGATATTTTCTATATGATAAAAAGTTACATTGGTTCACAGCAAATCTGTGATAACAAACATCTGTATGCCATTACTGGTGTACGTAAAAAGCGTTGCTCATAGAATTATCATCCAGCTCAGCTTTTCCTTTTCCTGCTCTGTTGGGCTTTATAGCAGCATATTTTTCCTTTTTTTAAATTTGTTTTTTTCCTTTTCAGGCATGCAATTGTGAAGCTTAGGTTTGCTTTTAAAGCTCTTATAATGTTGTTCTTGGCTACAGCAGGCAGCTGTTTTCAGCAAAAAAGCTCTTAAGGCCACTACTTGCCCAGCAACAAACAGACAAATACAGATAGCGACTGGCTGGTGAATATGATGTACTATTTAGGGTTCTCTCTGACTCTAAGAGGAGAGTAAATATCGAACTATAGCAGAACACGGCTGGTCATACTTCCTTACATCCTACACTGTCCTTATTTCAGAGCATCACCTTACCCACAGATGGCACTCTACAGATACCGCTAAATTGCTACTTATGCATAAGAGGCTTTTTATATATTGTGTCGGACTGAATCACAAGTTCAAATGAGTTCAAATAGAGGTCTCACACTAAAAAACCTAAGCCACTTCTCTCCTGGTACACGGTCTTCAGAGACAGCTGCTGCACTTCATGAGCAGTCTGGGAGCCTGCCACTGTCCTCTGATATCGTGTCTAGGGAGGGAGCCAAACAGCAAATGAAAGCACATTACAGCATGTCGTCCTGTCCCGTGGTCGGCAACGACTAGAGCCAATGTGAAAGGAACATTTAGTCTAATATGTACCAGCAGATAAAACTCCTCTTTTTCCCTTCCTGTCATCTTTTTCATTCCAAGGGAGGACTAGAATAACAGAAATTTGTAAGTACCTGTGAAAAAGTGCATTTGTGCTGGATATAGGCAGGATAAATAAAATTGCTGGTGGTTATTTGAGGTGAGTCTCGCTCATTTTAATCTCTCAGCAAACATCAGGTCACCAGCTACCTGCCTGGGGTTAGGGTTTTGTATTAGCCACAGCTTTTTTTTAGAAACTAGACAATGTTACCTTTAAAAATAAGCCTCATGGAAAACGTCTAACAACTTTGGAAACTTCTGAACGGAGGAAGAATTGGTAAAAAGTTGTGGACAACCCTAACCCCTAACACCCTGGTCATCCTTGGATTATGTGGTTTGTAGTTTTTCTCTCTAGTTTTAAAGCCATTAAGAAGACAACCCTAAATACTAATAGCAGATTTGCTTCATCATCCACTCAATCATTATTCAAAACTATTCAGCCCTGCAGGATTCTAACCTTGTTGTGACCTAGAGCAAAATACTTTACTGAAGTTCAACTTCAAAAAAAATTATATGTCAGCACCAAGAGTTGCTCCAGACTCCAACCGGGGACAAGGAGGGGTGTATAAACTCAGCATTCAACTAACAGGCTAAAGCCAGAGACTTCAAGGGAGAGATAAGGCCAGGAATAGGAGGACCAGAGGCAGTGTGAGGTGATAGTGAGTGGGTTCTTTTCACAGAGACTCAGCACAAAATAAAGGAGTGATAGAATTACTGAGAGAGAGTGAGCTTGTACAGACACCTCAATACTTATGAAACATGAGGGAAAAATAACACTGGGAACTTGTGTTTTGCTTTTTTTTTTACTGATATTCACTCATAGCTTTTTTAGGTCGCCTACTGTAAGTCTTAATTATTTATTATTTACTCCAGTTACTCCAGAGGGAATCCCCACCTGAAAACACTGCAAACATAGCCTACAAGTTTCTACCCAGCTTACCATACGTATTATACTTAAGTGTCAACAAATACGCAGCCGAGTTTGAATGCTCTGCAGTCCACAAACAAGACCAGTTTGTTTTCAGCATCCATCAAAAATGCATTGCTGTCTCACACGCTCCATCTTATTTGAAGAATATATTATTTATAATTGATGAAGCAACTTTTTGGTTTGTTCTTAGAAAGATGGTATATCATTAAAATCTAAACAGCTGCTTCATTATAGATCACATTTTGAGGGAATGGTTACACCAGCATTTCAAATGGTGCAGTCAGTTGAATTGAAAGATATTACCAACACTCAGGGGCAAAATAAATTATAAAGCTGAATTTGAACTTGTCCAACATGTTGACTGCTGTATATACTGGTAAGTTTTTGTTTTTGTGAATAATTTCTGATATTTTAGCTGTTGGTCAAAACATGTTATACGAATAATAAAGTAGCTTTGATTAAAGACTTAAACAGAAATATTACATGAATTATAAATTCAGGTGCTAAAGTTTAATCAAAGGCATTTTATGGGCAAGTGTGGATCATTTTTTTTTCTTACTTCATCAATTAAGAAGGTAAAAGGTCTGATTTGATTTAAAAGCTCACAAATTTTGTTAAAGCAAATCTGAATCCAAGGGAAACCAGTCAACTTTGGGCCACAAACCCGAACCCACATGAAATCTAGTGTGCAGTGTGAACACTGGCATCACATCCGTAATTACTAACAACTTACAAAGAATTATGTTGCTGTATACAATGATATTATTAGGCCCAGTCTAACATGAGTGGTCCATACCCTTAACACATCTCTCAGGCGTTAAACACAACATCTGTCTTTAAGTGAATGATAGGCTTTAATAGCAGCCTAATCATTTCTTGTTCTACAGCTGTCTAGACTCATCAGCAAGCTAGCCATTAAATGCCATTTATTAGTACCAGAGATTTAATTGTTTTCTAACACATAACAGAGCCAGATAAAGGTTATTAATAATCTAGTTTTTGTCACATTGCTTGTAGAGCTGAACAATTAAAAAAAAAAGAATGGGAATTGGATCTGATTCCACGTAGATGTTCTACAAGTGACTTTTGATTGGTGAGCTTGTGGAGCATAGCATTTGCAAAACCTCATAGACGCTGTATGTTTCAAACTGGATAAAGCAAGTTGTATGATGTGTAGGGTAGTGTTGGGGAGTAACGGAATACATGTACCGCCGTTACGTTTTTAAAATACAAAATATGAGTAACTGTATTCCATTACAGTTACCGTTTAAAAAGGTGGTATTCAGAATACAGTTACTTTGTTGAAATAAATGGATTACACTACGGTACTTTCCTGGTTCATTTTGTCGCGGGTCAGGACTGTTTGGGTTTTGTTTGACAGCTACGTTCCGTTGTTCCAGGCGGCAGGGTTACGGTTGCCATGGTTACAGGGCGACGCTCTCTCTCTCTCTCTCTCTGCGACTGTGTGTTTCCTGGGTGAGAGAGTGCCTTTTCATTGTTGTTGTTGTTGTTGTTGTGCTAAGCTAACAGGCAGAATGCTACAAGCATAGCTCTAAAGAATGTAGCCTCATGGGCAGTGTAGTCCGTGTTGCAGGGAGAATGGACTGCCATACACGTTATGGGTCTGTGAGCGCGAGGAGGGAGAAAAAGGGGAGTGGAAAGGTACGAGTTGTCATCGAGGAAAAACGGGAGCTGGAAGCATGTAAATATAATAATAACCACTTCAGCCAAGAAGAGTGCCTGACGAGCCCAGTTGTAAGTAAGCTATTAAGACTCGACTGTACACCGTGTTCGTGTTTTCCTCCGAAAACAATAAGTTCCGTTGGAGCAGTCTTTCAACGCCTCTCTCTGTCTCTCGCAAGAAAAGTTGACCCACATGTAACACCTGCTTAGTATAGTAGGGTTAAACTTATAGACTAGATTCGAGAGGAGTAAAATAAATTTGAGAGAATTGAGTGTTGAACAGCCGGCAGATTTATTACAATGTTACAGTGGTGCAATAATCCAATGTAAACAGCATAGAAAATTAACAGAAGATCAACAGAGAAGAGCGCTCTTTTGAAAATAACAACAAAATAAAATAAAATAAGTAGTCTCTTTAGACCTGACTCCTGATGAGCAGGATATTGGGAGTTCAATAGTTTCCCAGAGAAGCAATCCGTATGAAGTAAGCAGTTTTTGCTCTTGCTTATCTGAAATCCTGCGATTCGAAGTAATTCAGACTGTAGCTCTACTCCTGCATCCAGAACAGCTGGCCACACTGCTTTTGGATTCGCCAAGAGTTTTCACAGGGTCTGGCTCGCCATCCATATCCAGAACCACTTCAGATCCAGGATCACAAAAAACCAGTCTGCACATACAGTACAGAGCAATAAACAAAATAGTTCTTAACAGTTTTTCTAAATAAAATGAGATCTCATAAAGTTTTCAAAATCAAGTACACTGTCGTTTTAACATTGTTCTGTCTCTATGAATTCCATTTGTATTGCTTTACAGCATTACAATCAATTGTATTTATATACCCCTTTTTAAGGCATATGTAATCACATCATGAAATGTTTGTAACGCAACTAGTTTTAAATAACTTATTTACATGTATTAACCTATAACTGAAATTACAAAGTGCAGGAAAGGCACTGGACAACATTTATGGCTAAAAGAGAAGTGCATCCTGCATTAGTTTTGCACATTTGTGAAGATGCCCAATCAAATAGACAATAAAATAAAATACGACATTCCATTTCACACACGATTCAAGTACTCCGACTGGTTTTAGCTTTTTTTTAGACAATACGGAATTCGCACTGTTGCAGTGTTTACCACATGTAAAATTAGCATAAGTTTTCCTGCTAACTTATCATCTCTAGTAACTCACCGGAATTCCCAAGAAACAAATACACGCTCTGCCTGGTTTTGGTCGAGAGTAAAACACATAAAGGCCTTGTGTAGCTTGTTATTTGCTCTCGGTGTCTTGCTCCGTTTTGCCTAGCTTAATGCAGCAACGTGCTTTTGTTGCATTCACTGAACTACGGAAAATCAAAGTGTGTTCAAGGGGTGTCGGAAATAATATTACCAGGTAAAAACAAGAAAATACTAGTAACCATGTCTATAGGGGTTACACCCTCCCCCTTTGAATAAACATGAGTCCCTTCATGTACTTAAAATGTATCTAAACATCATAGATTTGAGTGTTTTCATAGCTACTAAACGACTCAAGAGCTTGGTTAAAGTTATCCAGAAATCGTTGTGCAAAGGATATAAGGGGTTGACCCAACTGGGGATAATGAAACCGTCCTGGGGGTCGCTTTAATCTCTCAGATTTTCTCACTTGAGGTGTTTCAGGAGTTATTTCAGGTGTTTGTTCAGCATGTTGGTCAGTGATATTTTCACTCTGCTCTATGTTTTCTATCTCAACATCTGGTTCTCCTTGAACTTGGACAATATGATTCTCTCCCATGATGTTGGAGTGAGATTCCTCATTCAGCAATTCAGGTTCAGTTTGATTTCCCTGTCCATGGTCATTCTCGTCTGAGATTGTCTCTATTGGTTGAAGCAAAGAGTTGTCACTTTTGAGTGTACATGGATCATTTTGAATTTCGGAGCTTGTCTCATTTTGCACATGAGAATGGTTTTGAGTTTGGTCACAAATTCTGATAACCGTCTTGGTTTGGATTGAGGGATGACTTGAAATGCATTCATACTCCTCCTCAGACTCTGACATTTCTGTATCTTTAGGTTCAGAAGGGCTCTGCCGAGTCTTAGGTCGACGTGGAGGTTTGGGCTTTGTCTCAACCTCATCCTCAATGTCTGAGAGATCACCACATGCAAGTAAAAGGTCTCGATGAAGAGTCCTGCTCGGACCACCACCCTTCTCCGGTTGGACCACATACACAGGAACATTTTCCAGTTTCTTAACAACACGGTACACCATGTGTTCCCATTTATCGCCAAGTTTGTGTTTACTGCGCAAACGAACGTTCTTGACTAAGACTCTGTCCCCAGCTTGAAGTGTGGACTCTCTGACTTTTTTATCAAACCTGTTCTTGTTTCGCTCAGCAACTCTCTTGGAGTTTTCGAGTGCAATCTGGTAACTTTCCTCAAGCCTAGCTTTCAGATTGCGCACATACTGGGAATGGGATGTTGGTGAGTCCCCTGTAACTGGCAACCCAAAGGCAAGGTCGACTGGTAGCCTGGGTTTTCGACCAAACATTAGCTCGTAAGGGCTAAACCCGGTAACCTCACTCTTTGAACAGTTGTAGGCGTGGGTAAGAGGCTTGACAAAATCACGCCAATGAATCTTTTGCTCATCCTTCAGAGTGCCCAGCATACCAAGCAGGGTGCGATTGAATCGCTCAACGGGGTTACCTCTCGGGTGATAAGGACTGGTCCTTACTTTTTTAATGCCTGTGGTTGAGCACAATTCCCTAATCACATGTGACTCAAAATCCCTCCCCTGATCACTATGGAGGCGTTCGGGGAACCCATAGTGAACTAAAAAGTTTTCCCAAAGGTTTTTGGCCACAGTGGTTGCCTTTTGGTCTCGGGTGGGCAAGGCCACTGCATATTTCGTGAAATGATCTGTGATGACCAACACGTCTTTGGTACTCTTACTGTCGGGTTCAATAGAAAGAAAGTCCATACACACCAATTCCATTGGGCGTGTGGTTTTGATGTTAACCAGTGGTGCTGCTTTTTCAGGCAAGGACTTCCTTCTAACACAACGACCACAGTTCTTTATTTTAGTCTCATATCAGCACCCATCTTAGGCCAATAAAATCTTGCCCTTACTAGATCATGAGTCCTCTCCCACCCCATATGACCCATATCATCATGGAGCAGCTTGAGAACAGTAGACCTAAGAGAGACAGGGAGTACAAGCTGGTAAATTGTAACTGAGTCACACTGTCATTTCCTATACAGAAGGCCATTTCTCATTTCAAAACGTTTCCATTCTCTGAGCATCAGTTTTATATCAAATGTTTCAGACCTGTTTTCACGTGGAACATCAGCACCAGATTCCAGTAACTGAATGACGTGGTTTATGCTTGGGTCAGATCTTTGGTGTTCTTTAAGCTCATGCTCAGAAAACAAGGGAGCAGCTACTTGACCAGATATTTCAGCATCACTGTATGCATCAGGAATGGCATCAGCACTCATAGCCAAGGACTCAACCAGAATGACACAAGGTGAGTTCTCACTGTTCTCATTGAGAAGATGCTTATTACATATAGCTGCTACAGTGTCAGGGCATACACTGTTAGAGCTTGGAAGGGATCCGAGAAGACGTGAGGTGAGTTGTTGAATCCTGTTTTCCTCTTCCAATGTCACACTATCTGCAGCCAGAGTTTGATGAGGCCTCCGTGATAGGCCATCGGCATCCTGGTTAGCCTTCCCAGCTCTGTATTTGATTTGGAAGTTGAAGGTAGACAACGCTGCTAACCAGCGATAACTCGCTGCGTCAAGTTTTGCCGTGGTCAGAATATATGTAAGCGGGTTGTTATCCGTTACAACGATGAACTCGTTACCGTAAAGGTAATCATGGAATTTTTCGACAATGGACCATTTCAGAGCTAGAAATTCTAGCTTATGAGCTGGATATCTGGTCTCGCTTGGTGTCAATCCCCTACTAGCATAGGCAATGACGCGCATTTTACCATCCTGCTCCTGATAAAGAGCGGCACCCAGGCCCGTGGTACTAGCGTCAGTGTGCAGAGCATATTGGAGCTTTGGATCTGCAAACCCCAATACAGGGGATGATGTTAACTTCTCCTTAATGCATTCAGAGGCTGACTGACAAACAGGTGTCCATCTGTCTGCAAAGGGTTCTCGAGGATTGAGATATTTAGAAGTGCCTGTTTGTTTCTGGCCTTTTCTGAGAGGTGGATAGCCACATGTGAGATCGTTTAAGGGCCGGACTATCTTTGAATAGTCCTTAACAAATCGGCGATAATAGCCTGTGAACCCTAAGAATGACTTCAGCTGTTTCAAGTTTTGTGGCACTGGCCAGGTCTTGATAGTAGCAACCTTTTCAGGATCAGTCTGCACACCATTTTTGGAGACAATATGGCCCAAATATTTAACTGATGTCTGGAAAAAGCGACATTTTTTCGGGGACAACTTTAAGCCATATTCACGAAGACGGTCCAAAACATGCTTTAGCCTCTGTTCATGTTGCTCGAGGGAGTCTGAGAAAACAATCAAATCGTCTAGGAAGACGAGTACCTCCTTGAGATTAATGTCTCCCATACACCTCTCCATTAACCTCTGAAAGGTGCTGGGAGCATTTGTGATGCCTTGGGGCATTCGATTGAACTCATAAAACCCCAGTGGGCATACGAAGGCTGTTTTGGCTTTATCCTCCTCCTCCATCTCTATCTGGTAATAGCCTGACTTCAAGTCCATGACAGAAAACCAGTTTGAACCAGATAGGGCGGAGAAGGTCTCTTCGAGGTTTGGCAACGCGTAAGCATCTTTTACCGTTTGCACATTAAGCTTGCGGTAATCCACACAGAGGCGTACCTCACCATTCTTTTTCTTGACTACAACGATGGGGAATGAGAAGGGAGATTCTGACTGTCTTATTACCCCAGCATCGAGAAGCGTTTTAAGGTGTTTCCTGACTGCTTCGTAGTCATTTGGATGAATGGGCCGCGATCTCTGTTTTATAGGCATTTCGTCTTTAAGCTTGATCTTATGCTTAACTTTAGTGGCATGGCCAAAGTCGAGATCGTGGCATGCAAAAACGTCACGGTAGGCACTAAGACTCTGCGTGACCCGACTTTCCCATTCCTTGGGCAGAGGTGAATCGCCAAAATCAAAGGTCAACTGGTCACTGGGTAATGAACATGAGTCTGCCGACAGGCTGCAACAGCCTGCAGAGTTTGCACTCGACGTGGTTTGAGTTTCAAGGACTTGGTCTGCAATGTGTAGTTCAGCAAGAACGCAGTTGCCAGGAAGGATGATGTCATGATCGGTTTCGTTTCTGATCCAAATAGGATGCTTGTAAGGACTTTGACGTGGCACTGTGATAAGGCAGCAATCGACAAAGATTCCTCCCGGAAGGGCTGAGGAAGTTGGCTGCTCTACAACTGCCCATCTGTCAGTGGTTGGTGAATTTAGGTGGGCGTAACTCTCTAGGCAAACCCTTTCATGAGCTGGTATTACGTAAGGTGTGTTGCCCTTCAGTGTCATTAGTCCAAGCTTTCCTGTGCTTTTTGTTTCATGTCTATGTTCAAGGATTTTTAAAATCTGACTATAGCCATAGAAAGCTGATGAAATGGGAGTATCCCTACAGTGTTCCTCATATAAAACATCAAGGGCATTTGTACCAATTAAAACTGGTAAGTCTGTGCTGGAACGTAAATCAGGGACAATGAGAGCTAATGTAGAAATTTGGGGCTCAGACTCAACAAACTCTTTTGGAAAGCCAATTGGAACTTCTACATACCCTAGATAAGGTACAACTTGTCCATTTGCACCCTCAACATCTAAGTCACTGATTGGCTGGATGGGAAGATCAGACAAATGTCTCTGGTAAAATGAGTGTGAAATAGTCGTTACTTGCGACCCAGAGTCTAACAAAGAATTGCAACTCACTCCAGCTATGTTGACATTAGCTGTGCACTTCTTGCCAATTAAGCCCTTTGGAAAGCTGGAATGACGCATACTTGTTCGTACACAACACTTTTTTGTTGGGCGGTTTTGAGTGGGACTTTTGTCGCTTCTAGTTCCAGTTTGTCCCTCAACTGAAACAGGAACTAGTTTAAATCAGAGTCACATTGGTCTTCCCAAGCTTTTTGTTTTACCCTTAGTTCTTTCCGCTTGGCTTCAACAGTACTGGGATTCGGCTCATTGTCACAAGAGGGAGCTATATGGCCATCCTCGCCACAGTTAAAGCAGAACCATGGGCGAGGCTTTTTGTTTTTGCCAAAGCCTTCATTTTTCAACGGAGAGTTCTGTGTTTGTGCCTCCTTTAGCTGCTGTTTCTTTACAGCTTTTGGGAACTTTGCCTGAGGTTTCTTTGCAACCATGGTTTCCATTGAAGCTTTTAAGGAACTTAACTGTTCTTGCAGTTGAGCAATTTGTTTTTGCAGTTTCTTGGCAGATGCTTGAGCGGAGCTGTCAGTAGCAGCAGCAGCTTGAAACTCAGTGGTTGGGTAAACATTTAAAGGATTGGACTGCACCTTTACTTTTGAAATTCCCAAGTGCTGCCTCATGCGAGTTGACTTGGCTGCCTGCTTATCTTCCTCTGTTCGCAAGAGTAAAAGCAGCTCAGAAAAGGAGGGTGGACTGGATTTCTTTTGCTCTAGATGGAGGCTAGCGATTAGGTTATCATCCCAGCATCCCCTACAGAACTGCTTCAAAAGCTGCTGATCAAAATCACT